CACGCATTCACAAGTCAAAATCCTCAATGAAAATGAATTCTTAATAAGCCAAAACGAGTACCACCTGAGCTCACGGGTAATGCAATTTTGATTGCTATACAATTTTAGAAAGAAGGTAGCTGCTCCCTCCATCATATCCACTTCTCATATTGACAGGACTTCAAAGGGCAAAAAGTAATGGGCAGGAATGTCAATGACATAGTTGGAAAAAAAGGTTTACACTTTAAAAAATGATGATCACCTAATCGTCAAAAAAATACGATGAATGGTGCAAATATGAATTTTGAGTATCTTCAGAGCGCCTTTAATTATCAATGACCGGGTGGTCTAGTGAGCTAGCTTCACTTGAGACATGATAAGTTGGAAACGTAATTATGTTAAATGAAAACAAAATTTCATGTGGCTTTATGCGAAAATTATAAGGACAAAAAAAATAATTTTTCTCTCTTTTCGCAAGTCCTTACGACCTTCCAACCTAGAGTGATCACAACAGCATTTAAGTTCACACCCAATCTAAAACCATCAAAAATTTTTGCAAACACCTCTTGTTGTTAGACGGCAATGTCATTGAACTGAGTAAATCATCTTGACTTCGTCCGATCACTTCCAGCCCACTGTTTACGATGTCATAAATACAAGACACAAAACGGAATAGGCTAAAGAACTTTACTCAAAACACTAACTTTAATTTGTTTTACTGCTTCTACGACTTCTTAAGGTAAACTATAAAATTTTATTCCTAGAATCACTAGAACCTTGTGTGTTAACGTCATGATGTTTTAACGCTCTACCATGTCGTAAAACTAAAGGCTCACTTACCGAGCTCCCACAAGTAAAGAATCTCCATCAGCTTCTAAAAGCTTGAAATGATCACTTTCCTCCGTAGATTGCGATCCATGACCACCAAATCGATAGCCGAGGCCTACTGAAATCAATAAATCTTTAGAACCGATAATTTTCCAACATGTTGGATTTCTTATATATTTTTTTCGCAGTTCGTAAAGCTCTCGCTTTTTGTGCAAGATATTTTTAACAAACATGCTATACCGAGACAAAAGTTTAGCTAAGT